CAATGGTGTCCATCCGTCCATTGCACGTGTCATTTGAGGACTTGACCTCTTTACGCAGTTCGATGACTTCCAGTCGCAGGTTACGCAACTCCTCCATGATGATGCGCAACTGAGAAGCGACATCCAACTGGGATGCAACAACTGCTGCATCTATTCCGACGACATTATTCTGCTGATCCTGGTGCACCTGTTCCGTGGTCAAGCTCTCGTCCAGATCTTCCTCCGCGGACTCTCGAGAAGGCGCAGACCCCAGCCCCGATGACTCCGAAGAGATCAAAGGAGGCATCCCTGTCTGTATGTCCATCTGGCTGTTTCTAACAGGAGTCTCCGATTTATTGTCCCTGCGGAGGTTTTTCCTACATTCTGGGCATTGCCAGAACGTTGGGACAGCGCCTCTAGTGGCCAGACCGACACATACGCGATGGTAATGTAAATTACATTTCGTGCACCTAGCGGCATCTGCCGGCGAAATAAATTTGCCGCATCCTCCGCACTTTGTCATCGGCATTATCGATGATTATATTGATGTGAGCGAAGTAGTTGCAGTCGTCTTAAAACAGATGGCGCCAGCGTTCAAGTGCGGCCAATAATGCGTTCCTGCAATACTAGATGTCACCAGTTGCGACGTGTTCCGTCACTTCGATCAGCTGTTCAACTTGATTATGAGGGTAAACAAATTAAATCTCTATTGAAGAAGATTTTGTATTTTGTTTATTTTACACGTAAAACAGCAAAACAAACCACCGACTCCGCACTCACTCAATATATATGGATGTGTCCTTTCACTATGCACTTTTTCAAATTATATCTCGTAGATATTAACTGTATTTACTATTATAAGTGAGCAAATATGTGTCAACAAGTCCGACTGGCACGAACGCCGAAACGTCACTCCAGTATCTTCGGGATGTGAACATCACACCATTGAGCACATGTGGGACGAGCTAAAAAGACGTGTTAGGGTTCGTTAGCCAGTTGCCCATACGATGCAGGAGTTGAAAACTGCCATAGAAGAGTAATGGGAAATGATCCCTCAAAATGACAATGACCAAATTTGTATGGAGCGTGGTGCCTTTTCATTTTTTCGCGGCATTTGATCGGATATGGATAAACTAATGCAGAATAACTTTACAAACAAAAAAATGTATGGGGTCTTATATCATAAACACAGTCCGAACCGAGTTAAATCAGTTCAAAGATGTGAAAATAGTGCTATATAATTCCTGTGATTTTGTTGATGGTGACCGTACACAACGCATATTTCTTCATTTACTTGTCAGAAATATTTTGTAATAAATGTTTATAGATGATATCAAGGAATATAATGAAGCTTATTGTGGACTTTTTACTTATTTTTTTTTGTTTTTTATATTTGTTTTTATTTTTTTTTGTTATAAGGCCACGGAATCAGAACAGAGTGCCTAGCACGAATAACTATCGCATTCGTCACGTACCTAATAGTATCGAGCGCGTTCGGAGCTCTGATTAGCCGGCTCAAGTGAACCAACCAATCAGAACGCTTAACTCGCTCGATACTGTTACGATACGAGTGCGATAGTTATTCGTGCTTGGCCCTCAGAATGAACCATTAACTGACCACTGCTGATGGAAAAAAAAACACATTTCGTGTGATTGGCTAGCGTATTCAATTTATTTGTATACGGTTTATGGCCTATGACAGATTTTCATGATCAATTTCCTCTTAGTCAAAAACCCGCAAAATACTTTACTGAGCCCTATCATGAAATGCTATGTTTGTCAACTGTGGCGCCGGTAGCGGATTGAGTAGTAACAGTCGTCAAAACATGAAAAAATCATTTTTCTGTCTACTTCTCCCGACTTCCGATTAGTGACTAATCTAACTACAGTTAATACTTTAATCTACATGTAGCATAAGATTCTCGTACAATGACATCGTCATTCAGTAACAAAGTGATGCATTTCGAATAATCACATTATATAAAAAATATATTTCATCACTTTACAAAGTCGACGGTTTGCTTTCTTCAAAAGATTATGCTAACTATAAAGTAGATGAGTCTCCCACCAGGAGTCAACGGCAAAAAATACTTTATTAAATGTTTGGACGGCTACAACTACTCAACCCACCACTGGTACCACAGCTGACACTCATAAAGCTTCATGACACAACTCCTAGAAGCATCCCACAAGTTATCGACTGAGAGAAAATAGGTAATAAAAATTAGCGACTGGCAATATGGATATATTGTGGTGTGATTTGGTGTTTCTGTGCCCGGCGTACAGTGGCGCGCAATTTGAACTTAGGAATTGTGACAAAAATATGAATAATTTGGATGAAAAAAACGAAAGTAAAATGTTTGATCCCAGCTCCTTTTAACGCTCATAACTCAGTCCAGACTGAGATTTCCATATATGAGCCCATAGACAATTTCGTTTCTAATGACATTCTAGATAATATTTTCCATAAATCATCGACTGCCGCCAGAAACAAGAATGGCACCAATTTTAGTCAATGCCCTTTCATAGAGCGGTTGATAAACTCTATGCCTAATCGTATGAGAGCTGTGGTAGATGCTCATAGAGGCAACACCGGTTATTAAATTAAACCTTTATTTGATAAAACATGTTTTTATTCAAACATCAATTGCCTTTAACAAGGCGCATATCCGATTTGTTAGCCGTAGCTCCATGTCGTATGGTATTCTGAATTCAAATTTTAAAAAATACGATCGAAAAAGATGGTAAAATGTGTCAGGTTTAAAACTGCATCAACAGTTTTTGTTCAATCTAGCAATCATATATCGGTAGGGGCCATCGAAACCTAAACTCTAAGGTGGGCCAATAGATGTGTCCAGATATAAGTTTGAAATCGCCACCCGCAATGAGAATAAAGCGCCAAAATGAAACTAGCAAAGTTATTTATGCAAAACATTTATTTTACAATTGTGTAGACATAAAATATACAATAATAAAGATAAAAGGTAACATTCACATATATTTATTTAAAATTCTCTACAATTTACATTTTTATTTATTTATTAAACTTTATTGGACATACAGTAAAATTGGCGGACTTAATGCCGTAGGCATTTTCTGACAGTCGACCATTGGGTGGTGCAGAATGTTAAAGTGGTAGGTGCAAAATTGTAAAAAGAAAGTATGAAGTAGACAACGAAGTTAAGGCAATAACATATTAAAGAGGGAAGACATGATTGTTATAGTTGATAAATACATAACTAAGGGTATAGGGACTTAAAATGATATATATGGTATAGACTTAAAATTTTTAAATACTACTTACAAAATAAAAAAATACGTGAGCAACTGTCCTCAATTGTTTCACTGTACTCGATCAAGTACAGCGGCGCTAAATGCACAAACCTTCCCCGTGTCAGAAAAGGTCTTTATTTTTTCTTTTTATGGGATAAGCCGATTAACGAGCAGACGGATCACCTGATGTTAATCAATCGGCGCCGCCCATGGACACCCGGAACACCAGAGGCGTTACAAGTGCGTTACCGGCCTTTTGGGGATTAGGAATTTGAGGATTGTTAGAAATTCAGGGATTGGGAAGATTGAGGAAGAGAGTGGGTGAACCTGACTCAAACGACAAAACACAACATAAGCATTGCTTTACTATGGTTTTTGCTCGTTGGTGATATCACTCCGGTCGAGCCGGCCCAGCAGTGCCGAAGCATGGCTCTCCCACACTTAAATTTATGCTCGTTGGTCAACCCTCGACAGTCGGTGGAACTTCGTGGAGCACTTCTGACGTTTGGCTCCAGTGTTGGAGAGGACAGGGGCGGCGCTTAATTAAGCGCATCCTACCCAACCTCGGGGGGCCAAACGCCTCCTGCCGGAGGTTATATGCCGGGGTCGTGCGGTCCATGGCCCTCTACGGCGCCCCTGTGTGGGCGCCGAACCTGATGCTCACTCGGGCGCTGCTTACGTCGCAGAGGGTTATGGTGATCCGAATGATCCGCGGATACCGCACGATCTCCGGGGAGGCGGCGAACCTCCTTGCCGGATTACCGCCGTGTGTTCTGAAGGCGATAGTGCTCGCGCGCGTGTATCGCATGCGCGCGGAGGCACGTCGCCGCCCGGGGCGAAACTCCGCTGCCGCGCCAGATAAGTGCGTGGCGGGAGGAGCTCCGGCGCGAGCCCATGGCGGCATGGCAGCAACGACTGTCGCAACCGAGGGCTGGGCTCGCTGCCATTGCAGCGGTAAGTCCTCTCTTTGAGGAATGCCTTGAGAGACGCTACGGCGTCCTCACCTACCGCCTGACGCAGGTCCTCACCGGACATGGAAGTTTCGGAAGGTACCTGTCGGTGGTGTGTGGTGGTGTTTCGGTGTCTGATGGGGCGGGAGGTAACGCCCGGGTATCATCACTGGAATATACTGTAGCGGAATGCCCTGCGTGGGCTGAGCACCGTTGTGCCCTCAGGGACGTGATCGGCGATGGTGACCTCTCGCGCCTGACCCTAGTGAGGGTCATGAGGCGGAGCGAGGGGGACTGGGATGCCGTCTCCTCCTTTTGCGAAGCAGTCATGCTAGCTAATGGACGCGTGAGGCAGCGAAGCGCTGCCTCCTCGCAACCCAGCCATCGCTAGGACACTCCGGGCGTAGGGGGTTGCGGGACGATATCCGGCCACCGTAAGTGCGGAGAATTTAACGGGTTGTCGGGGCTCCGGCTCGAAGTGCAAGAGTAGGAACGGGGTGGTTTTTCGTCAGTAAGAGTCTGACACTCCCTCTCGCCTTACCCAGGTGGGAGAAGACAATCGTTGATTTTCCCCCTTAAAAAACCCACCATTATTCTTATCGCGCTAGAGAGGAGGAGGTCTTTTTAACATAAGAGTTGCCTACATACACAGACATAACGGTTTGCCGGGACTCCGGTAAGAAGAGCAGGGGTAGGAACGGGGTAGTTTTTAGTCAGTAAGACTCTGACACTCCCTATCGTCTAACTCAAGGTGGGAGAAGGCATTAAACGACTTTTCCCTCCAAAAAAAAGTCAGGCTCAGTAGTCATAAGGTCCAAACAGAAATGTTGATGAGTGCATGGCCTTAACTAAGTTTTTATCATCATAAAGTTCAACCCTCTGAGCTCCTTCATTGCTTCCAGGATATACAACTATGTAATTTTTTCTATTTGAAAAAGGAACTTTGTACAGCTTTTCAAAGTCTAGAACAGTATTTTCGTTAATCTGTTCATCACCCAGCAACCCAAAGCATCCATCAATCCCATTAATTTTGCCAGTTCTTTGGTAATCCGATTGATTTTCTAAATCAGACAACAACTGAAAGATAAAAAGTTTGTTGCTCTCCGCCATTTCGTTCAACTGAGAATCCATTTTAAATTTTATGTTAAAAAGGTGAAAACAATCTGTTCCCAATCTTCGAAACAATACTTTGATTATGAATTCCCACATTTTCTCTTGTCCTTCTTTTGTGACTTGTGATTTAAGTCTGTCGCAAACGTACTCTACTGCCAAATATTCAGCAAAAGACATGTGTATGAATATCGGTACGTTATTTGCTACGGTCTGGATCAAACCAGATTTTTCTCTTCCATATTTTAATTCATCTATCATCTTATTTATTTCATTTAACTCTCCTTCGTCGAAAAATTCAGTATTAGGATAAAATACGACAAAGGCACCTAATTTCTTATGCTTATTTACACATTCCGTCCTTTCTTTTTCATATAAAACTCTATTGTCTGGCTTATAAACATCAATTTTGTTTTTCTCTTGAAACTTAATTCTCTTCAGTTTTATTTCTATATAGTATTCGTACATAATATATCCTGTTGTATTAATATCCCATTTGTTCTGTTTATCATCGATATATTTGATTTTATTAAGTGTATATTCAGCCAGTAAATACAAATGTAAAGGAGGTGCACTTAACATATCCAGAAAGTGTGCTGCATCGCATTGTAGCATGTAATATTTTTCAGGATAAGGGATTTCTAAACCTGTGATCGTAGACTGTTGCTTTAAAAATAACAGAAAATTTGTATAAACTTTAAAATACGTTGTGTGTCGAACACTGTTAAATACTGCGACACCGTTCGATTTTTTTGTAATAAACCGAATGAAGTCGTTTATGTTTTGTAGTTGTTCACTACTTAGTTTTGATACTTGCAATTTGTTTTGCCAATACAGAAATAGATATCTGTCTAGTTCCATCCAAGAGAAATGGTCAATGCCATATGAAGGTCCAAATTCTGTTTCCAAAGTAGATTTAATATTATTATAAGATCGACTTGTGATCCAAATCTTATGTCTTTTTGTAAAATCCCTAACTGATTTCACTAGTGCAAGTGCTTGATCGGCGTAGTCAGGGAATATTTCATCGAACCCATCAAAAATGAATATTAATTTCTGTGTGTTGTAGTAATAGAGAAATAATTTAAGTTGGAATTCTATAAAACTGTCCTCGGTCCAGTTTTTTAGGATTACCGTTCCAAGTACTTCTTCCAAATCAATTTTAAATTCATCATCTTCATTAAAATCTCTGTGATCCTTACAAATTGCTGCGTCACACATGAATCTTAAACTCTCTAGCATATTTATATCAGTTTGACTATCTTTCCAATCACTCAACATCTTCGTGTGCTGCAACAAATTGATCCTTAATATCCACACTTTAGGGTTTATTTCCTTTGTTTTCAACGACAAATGAGTCATCAAAGTGGACTTGCCCATTCCTGGTACAGCTGTCAGTAGTACAACGTCGTCGTCTAAGTCATATAGAGTTTGTGGTCGTATACGGTTTGCATTATCGGACCCTGCTTTTGGCGTCACTTTCCTGTCTATATACAACTTTTTGTTCCTTTCATAGTTATCATCTATGTCTTCATTTCCTACTCTTATTGATTTACCGTCAACAATATTGTTCAGCATGGTTTCATCTATTAATTTTGCAGATTCTTCATCTATAATTAAATCTAAACCTACATCTAAGCCTTGGAACTTTGCTTTAGCAGCTCCTAGGACCATTTTTTGAGATTCGTCAGTCAGATCTATGAGAGATATTGGATCGTCATTTACTACATCATGGACTTGTGAGAAATATTGTTTTATTGTTTTCACTGAATGTTTATCCACGACTATAACAGTCGGTTTACCATTTACAGCCTTTGCGATGCTCTCTAACTTTTTGTTACAATTTTTAAAGCTTTGCATGTGATTCGATAGAATTATTAGTACTTTGTCCATACAATTCGTCAGTTCTTCACAAAATATCGTAAGGCTCTTATGAGGGAGTTTGAAAATATATTTTAAATCCAATACAGCATGATCTCTTTTGCCTAAATACTGTTCCAATTTGACTGATGTCAGTACTGGGCTCCCTGATGCTATAACAGCTCCAGTAACATTACGTTCTGTGAATATCTTGAGAGATTCTTCTTTAAATACATAATCTTTGTTTTTAATTCTATGCATCGTGTTTAAAACTCCAATTAAAGGTTCATTCATAGCGTTTGTAACAGCATTTGTGTACAGTTTGTTTTGTTTCGTCAAATATGTTCCCACTTTTGGAGTCATCCATAGTTTTTGTATTTCGTCGTGATACCTCAGATATATTACGTCAGATCTCACTCTGAACCTGTGGACATCATAACACGGATGATCTTCTATTTCTCTCTTGAGTATATCTTCTACTTCACCCTGATCTGATTGGTTTGTAAAAAATAGCAATCTGTTATAAAAGTCTCTGACCAAACTATCGTCGTATGCTCCTGTTTTGAATGAAAGTTTTGGAAACTTTTTGACTTTGACGTCCAATTTGTATTCATTTAAATTGTCGACTTGAATTTTCAGCTTTTCGTACCATCTCTTGGCTATACTGCCCAGTGATTCGAAATCATCTGTGAATCTTAGGAGATTTGTGAGATAGTCCAATACTAATATATTACCAACGGCTGAGGACAATCCTCCATTCAGCTTTAGAAAGCCATCACCAAGACTTTCATCGATTGTTATTATATTGTCTGTCGTCACATTTTCCAATAGTTTTACAAATGCTGTAGTTAAATGTGTTAATCTTTGGTCTATTTTTGCATCATTCCCTCTTATGGCTAAGTCTTTGTTACCAAAAAAAGCTGGAACCTTCAATTTGAGACGTTGTAAGTATTCTTTAGCTCCACTCACAGCTGCCTTATAGACAACAGTTTGTGGTACATTTAATTTGTCAAGTTTCCGTTTTAGATCTTCGTTTGTAGAGTTATTGACAAATTCCAATCTATCATTCTTGTAAGTTATAACTTTACCTATTAATTTTGACAATAGTTCTTCCTTGGGTTCGACAAGAAACTCTGATAGAACAGAATCCAAACTAATCATAATTTCATCACTTATTTGTGATTTATTTTTCTTCAGAACTTCTAAGCATAGTATGTTTTTAAATAGTACAACAAATTTGTTTTCAGAATCAAAAAAGTCTTCTCTGAAATGCACAAATCGATGGCCTTCAACTTGAATCTCAGACACTTCAAAGACTTCAAGAGCTAGGAGCACATGATAGCGCAACATCAAATCATTGTTCATCGATAGTTCTGTGTCATTTCGTTCAGTTATAAACGTAGCTATATTAATAGCTAAACAAACAATTTCTTCTTTCATTACAATCTTGCCTAGAAAGTCTGAATGGTCTTCTTTATTAACAAGTTGTCGGCAAGCTTTTCCTGTTCTTACAAGTTCATTTATATAATCAGCAAATTCTCCCTCATATAACTCAGTACTATTGTCATCTTCAGCTGTAGCGGCTGTAGTGTACATTGCAAAAAAGCATTCAACATCTTCGAATTTTCCACCGAAAATAGGGCTCTTATTTTTAGGACTGAACAATCGCCTGATTCTCAAATAACTATCAAAATATTGAGCTAACTCTTTCTTGTTGCTGAACGTGAATAGTTTATCATTTTCTCGATGTTTGGCTTGGATGAATATAGCCAAAGGTTTATCGAACTCAGATACTTTGATTCGTAGACAAATATCATCAAACGTGCCGATTTCATCGATGTTCGTGGCCAGATGGAAGCTTTCTATCGTGTCGTTGTGCAAAGCTCTGAAGTTAATGAGACTGATGAGTTTCGTTTCATACAGTTGTCCTTGTATGCCCGATGTTCCTGAACGCTTTTTATATTGTTTTACGTCCATAGTAACGGGGTCTGAATGTGGAACAAGTTGACGCGAACAATAACATCAATGTTGTCGTCTGTCAGTTGCCTCAAGTTGGTCTACTAATTTATGAGGAGAACTGCAAGCTGTCACTGAGTTTGGAAGTTCTATAGTGGTTCACCCCCGTACCTGATCCCTCTTTCCTCATGTCTGACTGAGAGAGGGAACAGAGAGTGTTCCCCGTATTAGTAGATAATATATAATCGTACTGGTTATACATACAAGATTTATATGAATAAAACATTTAACTATTTCACCGGTGGTACTGAAGGACGTGTGACGCCGACGCAGCCCCTCGCCCCGTCCGTCGATGTCTTACCCCTCCGTCGTCTGTTCGTATGATCAATTTTTCATTTGTTTGCTTCAACGTTTGTTTTCTCAATTCTTCAATAGTTGTGATCTGTAAAAATCAACAAATTATATTTATTTCTGCAAACAGATTATAATGGAGCACTTTTAAGCTAAGGACTCAAGGCACGATTGTCTCCCGCGCCCGCCGCGATTGAAAACAGATGTGTATTTAAAAATCAAAGCAATTATCACGGCGCGTTTTACACCAGCGGCTGTTGCAATCGTTTGCAGCTTCCACTGCGCCGGCGGGCGCGGCCGTCACGCAGCCGCGGCGGGTTGCAACCGCGCGTTCTGCGATCGGTTGGCGCACGACTGAAATGGGAGGGCCGGTCTGGAACTCAACTGATTGTGTAACTAACCGCCGACCGTCTTGCAATAACCAACCGCAAAGTTTGCGGGCATTAATCGCATCCGCGGGCGGCTGCGAGATCGCAGAACACTGCGGTCTCGTGAGTTTTGAAAATTCCGCCTCCATTCCAGTAACTGCCACGACGGGCGCGGGAGAAGATCGCGCCGTGAGATAAAGGTCTGGAGTCGATGTGATGATGGAGCCGAGAGCCAGTCGAGAGAACTCTTCAACGGTTAACAGTAGCTACCTTGTGTTTGGGTTTGATTAATTTGTATTGACGACAATTTTACACCTAGGTAGAGTGTAATTGTCAATAAGGATCTGATGATGAAGTAGTACGATAGTTGAGGGAACTCCTTAACGGTTAACAGTAGCTATCTTGTGTTTGGTTTTGATTAATTTGTATTGATGAGGACCTTGCATCTACGTGAGTTGTGTATAATGTAATATATCAAAGTACCTAAAAGTATAAAATAAAATTTAAAAACTGCGTACCGACTGAAACCTCGTAACTTCATCGTTATTATTGTTAGTGAATCCCACAGTTGCTTGATCAGAGCCCTTGTTCACATATTTGCAAATATATTTTATGGATTCGACACTATTACATGCTTCGACATTAATGTGAGCTTGAAAGGTTCTTGATAATACCGGTGAATAAGGTACCACCCATCTATTATCTGCATCTATTTCCTGACCATGTAACGTTATTTTAGCTGTGAACCCACCTTGTTGAGGTGATTTTCGCCGATATAGTGGACATCCGTTTTCTCCTGATATTGTTTGCTCTGAAAGTGCCCAAGGGAACTTTTTAGAGCAATGATCATCTTGCATACAGGGAGAATTCCTGTTTAATGTGCGGCATGGTCCGTGTATCATGTGAGTCTTTACAATATCAAATAATATGGGATCTTCGTTCTTGTCAGGAAATTCAGCACTTATAACAGTATCGATAGCATCAGGCCTAAGTTTTTCTTCTCACCACAGTAATATGTGGGCATGTGGCAAGCCTTGGGGTGCGGTGCCAGAAGACCTCCCCGTG